CATTTTCATACAAGATAATGCACTACCTCATTCCACAAGAATTAAGGTTGCTGCAACAGAAAGGAAACGAAACGAAAATCCGCCAGATAAGTATTGTCCAACCAAGTAAATTATCAACTCATTCAAAATTTAATTTTAAAAATATGGTTACATAAAAGATATGATTTCGTTTTTTCTTTCTAAATAAACTTTTTTGATAAGTTTATCAATTATTTTAACAAAAAGCCATTTTTGAGCGATCAAAGTTTTTCAAAATTTTTCACTTCGACTAGCCATAACTTTCGCAAATGATGATATTTCTTTATGAAGCGATAAAATTTGATGTACTGCACGTTTGTTAAGTTGATGTACGATCTTGAATAATAAATACATACAAAATGGCGATTTTTGAAAAAAATTAATTTATAAATTCCTTTTTAAATATTTAATTGAAAATGTTGTTCGAGTGAAGGTATCATGAATTAATAAGAGGTTCGAACTGACTTAAGTGAACTATTGAATAAATATAAAAACTGAACTTTACACAACTTATCCTAGAAATAATGCAAAATAAAAACTTACATATTCAGAATCTAATCGAACAAAGTTTAATAAAGTAAAATTTTAATTATAATTAGATAAAATAAATCATCATCGGTATGATAAAAAATAAGTTACAAATAATCGCAGTAGAAAAATATTAAAAAAGTCACACTCGGTAAAATTAAAAATAAATGAAATTGAAACGGCACCCTGTCGACTGAATGTTCGAAACGAGTCTCAGTAGATTTTGATGAGAGCACCGCTAAGTTTTTCTTCATCTTCACCGTTTTCTTCTTACCCGAGGCCTCAATGGCCCGGACCTTGCATTCGATTTTCCATGGAAGGCCACGAGCCGTCCGCTTCTCTTTCAATTTTGGCAGATCAGTTACGCGTCCAAGCCTTCTTGTGCACTGTAGTGCCATTGCACTGAATTTGTGCACTTGTAGTGCCAATGGTTGCACTTGTACCAATGGTGCACTTGTATTGCCAATGGTTGCACTTGTAGTACCAATTATGACAAGACATACATGTACTTTCGGGGATCGCTCGGCAGACCTCTCATATGCTTGTCGTATGTCACTCACAGTCACACATCCAACCTCCGACCAACTCCTGTATCTATCATTTTCATTACAAATATTGCGCAACGATTCTTCCTCCGTTACAACAGCATTTCGTGATTAAAAATTCGAAGTTACTCCCAGCCCATTATTCTTCTATTTTACAAAGTGTTTGTTTGCAAATAATCTATATTACGTCTATCCCCTTATCGGAGGCATATACAAAGAGGGAATTATATTATACAATTACATTATACAAAGAGGACCGCTGCATGTATGCGCACTAACCGATCCAACCACGCTCAGCATTCCTTTCCTTTCCAGTCTGCATTTGACCGCCTTATCTTTGTCTCGGTCTTCGGCAGGGCGGAATAAATCTCTCAAACTCGAAAACTACAGATTGCAACGAATAGACCAAGAAAATTCTTTTGACTTTTCGTCATCACTAATTTACTACGATACTCATCCGAAACATCCCCCCTATAAAAAATTAAGTCAATTTTTTACGTTTTCTTCAAATATTTTAATTAACTTGTGTACCGATATCCTTAAAAATTTTTTTCCCGTGCGGATAGTGGCTGATCTTGTAATAATGTCAGTTGGACTCTGATATACTTCTGTGATTCTCCCTGTTTGCCATAAGTTTTACGGTGCTTGATTGTCTAAGATCAATATAAAATCTCCTATATTTAATGGAGGCGTCGACTGATAATATTTCTAGTTTTTAATTATATCAAAATTTTCGTTATACTATCCAAAGTTTTGTTGAAAATTCTAGCTCATTGTCTGTTATTGCTTACGAATCCTGATAATTTTTTTGAGCACGAGGCGCGTACACACATACGATCTGCCGCACGATTGACCAGTCGAAGGCAACTGAGATATTTTGAAGAAATATGGTAGGAAATATGTATGTTTCGATAAGTTATATCGTTTACAATCGTAATAATCCTAATTGTTTCATCGTATTTAATTGTTGTTCATTTCATTTAATAAAGACATTATTAAAAAAGAGTCAGTTATAAAAGAAATTTAAAAAAAGAAACGTTTAATAATAAATTTACAAATGAAACTATGAGCATGTACCACTTTGCTTGTGAATATGAAAAAATGTGCTATAGTTATTAATTTAATATTTGATGTTATTATTATAAATGATAAAAAAATTATAATGTGTTATATATTTTATAAAATGAAGATCAGTTATCAATAATGTAAATACTTTAGTGATTTAATTATTATAATCAAGAATTAAATTAAATAAGCAACAATAAAATTCTATGAAATATCTAGGAATATTACGATTATAAGCGATATAACTTATCAAAACTTACGCATCTTTTAGCATATTTCTTCAGAATGTTTCCGTTGCCTTCGACCAGCCAGTCGCGCGCCGGATTTTATGTACGCCTTGCGCGCTCATAAAAAAATTACCATGACTCTTAAACAATAACAGATAATGTGCTGGAATTTTGAACAAAACTTTTGGACAGTATAATGTACATTTTGGTATAATTCGAATCTAGAAATTCAAAATTTCCTCGAAAATTTTCAATTGAATATTTAAAAAGGAATATACTGCAACGGTAGTCGATTTAATTAATCGAACCGTTCGCGATTCTGCTTCTCAGGCGTTAGTTCTAATAGTTAAGAGAGAGAGAGGGCGCGCGATCTTTTGAATAGGCAGTTTCGCCTCAGCTGTTCACGAGAGTTTACCGCCGACTTGTTTTGCACTTTGTTTCGCAAAAAAGTAAAGTTTTCTTTGGGTAAATTACGTGCGTGAGTGCAACGGCATTTCCGTGACAGATAATAGCAGCAGTACAGAAGCAGCAATAAAGTTATATTGAGGCAGATCGAGGCAGCGCAAGCTGATAATCGAGGGGCAGCGGCAGTTGAGATTTTTGCAACAACAATTACGGCTGATCACCGTAAGTGCACCGCATGGTAGGTGCACCTTCCGTCATATTAAGCGATACAAAATACATTCGGTATTTTGTATATTCGTGATAGCGTTATTTTTTGTATTCGCGTCGAGCGTTAGTTGGCGGTATAATTCGAATCTTCTCTCTCTCTCTTTCTCACCGAATATAACTAATTGTATAATCCTATTCGCGTGCGTTAGTCTTTCAGCCCTACAAAGACTGTAGTAATTTTTATTAATTAAAGTCTGTAAAATTTATTCGCCATTTTCGTAATTTAATTTTCCTAGTAGCTTAAGTAATTGAAAAAGGCTCAGGTTTTAATCCAATTACATCTAGGGGATTAAGAAGATTAGGAGTAAAGTCGCTCACACTTAAAACTCAACGAGTGTCACAAGACACGTGACTTAAGGTGAGTTCAACTCCGTTTAACAGAAGACAACTAGGATAAATCATCTGACGTTAAGGCGAATACACGTACTATCATATGTGTTTAACGGAGTGGCAGTTTGCTTTGCATCGTGGGAATTTGTTCTTATATAAATTTTCCAATTTTCAGATAACCTCCCCCGTTACAATACAAACAAATTTTTTTTTAATCACCATTTTATTTGTATTTATTATTAAAGATCGTACGTGGACTGAGCAGACGCATTAATAAATCAAAATTTACCGTGCTATAGTTTCAGAAAGAATATGATCATTTGCAAAAGTTATCGCGAATCGACGTGATAAATTTTGAAAATATTTAAATGCTCAAAAATGGCTTTTTGTTGAAATAATTTATAAACTATAAAAATTATCAAAAAAGTTTATTTAGAAAAAAGATACCAAATTGCATCTTCTATATAACCACATTTTTTTTAATTAAGTTTTGAATAAGTTGATAATTTACTTGGTTGGACAATACTTATTAGGCAGATTTTCGTTTCGTCTCCTTTCAGTTATAGAACCCTCAATTACTTAAGCTTACATCCGAAAACACCACTTAGAAATACTAACACATCTATTGAATAGTCCAGGTCTTTATCCAATTAAACATGTATGGGATATGATGGATAGACGATCGCGTATTAGGCAGAGACAGCCAAGGAATCTTGCGGAACTAGGTTAGGCTCCAGATGATATGGTATGAGATACTATAAGATATGACATGAACTTGCACTAATATTTCTGTAAGATTAGTTGAAATTATTAGACTTTAAGGCGTCAATATAAGATATTAAGGGCTTTCTGTAAAATTATTAGTAATCGGTCCCCCACAAACATATACACACACACAACTACATACACATATTATAACCTAAACCCGATTAACGAATTCCTCGTGGTGCTTATTGGGTAACGCTAAAGTCGATAGAAATATTCGTTTCGCTCTTTTACGAGTTTTTCATTCCGATTTGATCAGAATCAACTAAGAAATAACAAACGAATCCGTGCATATAGCATTTTCAACCTGAGATATCGATCTATGAAATCGAGTCATTCTACACGGCTGATTTAATCATAGAGTAAATTGAAATGATCACAGTTTTCACGAAAAAAAAAACCGTTTTTTTAATACAATTCTTAAAACTCTGTAAAATCGTAAAAACAGATCCTAAAAGGTCAATTTTTTTTAATTAAAAAGAAAGACTTGTACATTAAGATAGGATGATCAGAATTATCGAAAGAAATTCACTTACATTTAGGCGCACTACGAATGTTTACGATTTGTGAGTTTTAAAATTGTAAATTTAAAATTGTTTCAAATCGCAAATTGAGTTCCACCATCTTAGAGTAGAGTCTTCAACCTTTGAGTTAAAAATAATTGATTTCCTTACAAAATTTTTTATCTGAGATATCGGTCTTCGAATTATTATTAGTTATATAATAGTATTATAGCGCCCTATATTAGTTGAAAATAGTGTTGCGTTAATTTTGTTGCGAAGTGTATATCATTATTGGTCGTATTTCTAGACAATTCGCATAGACCTAAAATTATGGTATAGATACATACCTGAACAACTCGTTTAGGTAATCCTATTTCTCGTCCTAACATTTCACATTCAGCCATTGTTGGAGTTTTGTAATCCGAAAATAATGATTTCATAACTTTTACTTGCGTTGTTGACATTTGTGTTCTATAACGTTTACCACTACTCTGAGATGTTGAATTTCCTCCAGCATTTAAATTAGAAATATTTCCAATATTGGTTATGTGTTTAGAACTTTGAGGATTAGACATTGGACTAATTGGACAATTTTCTTCATCAATAAACTCAGTTGTTTCGCTCAAGCTATCATCGTCGCAAATACTTTTTTCTGATAAGTCTGTTAAAGGACCATAGTCACTACCGCTTCGAGTAAGTTGATTTTGATTCTGATCATCGATTAAACCACATAAGTTATTTATCGTCAACTTCACTGATTTGCTCAAATCAACTGGCTTACTCAAATCCAAAGGACATTCATAACTACTACATGGGAATAAAGTATTATTTGTATCTTGTTTCCCATTATTGGCATGCGTTTGAAATTCTGAAATGTAACGTTTCATTGATTCTTCGTAATACTTTTTGATCGACGCCTCAACTTCTGTACTGATAGATGGGAAAAGGGGGGATATTAAGTTAGGAGTACTCGAATTTGAAGGTGATGATTCTAAGGACAATTCTTCATCAGGAATATTGTCAACATTAATATCTCCTCTTGCTATTTGATCAGCATGTTTACTATGCAAATGCGATTCAAGAGCTGATTTTACTTTAAACAGAGCAGGGCAGAATGGACATCTTTTATTTATAACTTGACTATGCGCTCGGAATTGGCCTTTTCTTTCTCGAGCACGTGTATTTTGAAACCATACTTGTACAACGCGTTTCTTGAGCCCTACTTCTTTTGCAATAGTTTCTAACATTTTTCTCGATGGATTTGATTCTATTTGATATTTTTGATATAAATAATCTAATTGTTCTGGAAGTATCGTTGTGCGTAATCTTTTATCTTTCGGCTGCTCATTGTGATCTGAAGTCGATTTTCCATCTGCACTTTGACTTTCTTCGAAGTCATCAAATTTTCTCTTTTTTTCTTGTATTACGTTTATCAAAGAATGAGTTATATCTGATGATGAATTCGAGTTATGTAACGCTTGTTGTTGCAAAATTCCGAAAGCAGAATCCGGTGGATAATTTGGAGGAAAAAGAGTAGGATTCATGATATGCACTAATTGATGTTCGCGCCACAATTCAAATCTGCCAAAGACTAAATTGCATTTATCACATTGAAAATTCTGGTCTTTTGATTCTGATTGTACACATTGTTGACTTAATTGATGAGGATGCGTTGCTTGTTGAGGGAAGAAATTTGTATTAGCACTTAATTGGTCAGAATTGGATTGAGAATTATAAGAATTTGTTGGTTGGGTATTAATTATAGTAGTTGAACTACTATTGCTATCTTCTGAACTGAAAACAGCTGCCACTTGAGCAGCAGCTGCTTGTGCCTGAGCACTTCGCTTTGCGTCTTCTTCTTTAAAACAATGAGTTTTTTGGTGTCGAATAAGTTCATAATAACGTTGAAACACAAGAAGACACTTTTTGCACTGATAATTAAGACCTGGTGTTCTTTGAAATCGACCTGTTCCATCATCATTATCTCGGCTTCCAGAAGAAATTGGTTCTAGAGGAGGTTGATTCTCATATACTTTACGCGCTTTTTGCCTAGCATTTTGAAACCAAACAACTATAACTCGTGGGCTTAATCCTAATAGTTTACTCAAGTATTCTAAATCGTCATCTTTTGGATAAGCATTATTTTCAAAAAATTCTTGTAGAACTTTAATTTGATAATCTGTAAATCTCGTTCTATTTGCTCTTTTTCCAGAACTATTACCCCCTGAATTACTGCCATTACTATTATTAAATGTAAAATCAGATGTTTTAGGACTTAAGCATCTTGTATTTGTTGGAACTCCTTGAGATGCGTTAGGCAATACAGTATTCATTAATTGGGGATTTGGTGTAAAAAAATGTTGAGAAGTCACCTTAGGAGGAAGCATAGTAGATGCATCAGTAAGACTGGAAGTGGCAATATTTGTTAATGGTTCTTGATGACTACTACTTATAGCTGAAGTTACAGCAGGAGATTGTGGTCCCGAATGCTGGTCTCCAGAACTTTCTGGAGAATGATGATCATCAATAGATTGTTGATTAATAGTTCGATCACAATATTCTTGTTTGATTTCGTTACGAAGAATATTATCATTATTTTGTTGGCTCGTAGTCATATTTTGCTCGTCAGTTTTATGTTCTGCAGAGATAGTATTTGTACCAGAAATTAAAGGTGACACTTTAGCTTCACCAGTTTTTTCATATTCCTCCAAATTCAGTGTTGTACTAGGTGGATTATTAAAATTATAAGGACTATCTTTATTTCGTTGTCGTTCTTTAAATAATGTATTGCGGAACCAGTGTTTTATAACTTTTGGTGGCAATCCACTCTGTGCAGCCATATCAATAATTTGATCTTCTCCAGGTGAGTTATTGATATCAAAATGAGCTCTTAAAATTTTAAGTTGATCATCAGTTATCCTAGTTCTTGCTCGTTTCTGCGATACAGTAGCGTTAATCTGAAAAATATTTGGCATGAATTAGATTTTCTGTAAATTATAATATATTTACTCAGAGTATAATTAAATTTCTCAAAATATTGTAATTTCCAAAATCAAGCATTTAAATCAAGCTTATAATTAAAAAAACACGAAGAATAATGCTATAAGTAAATTTTTAACGCTACTGAGTTAATGTCGAAAAATAAATCAACGATTTTGAAACATGATATACGTTGACAATAAGGTAAAATCTATAATTCATCTTTTTAAAAAGAACGTTTCTAACATTCCCACGAAATATTACGTTTATTTTATAGCAAATATCAATATAATGTGTTTAAATTTGGCATCATTTCCCTTGATTCTATCAATATATGATGTTCGTAGAGGCTAACATTATCTAGAGCTTATAATACTAAAGAGCGATAGATACTTCTACAGCTTATCACTCTAGATATCTGTGTTATCCTTTATTTGTCTGAAGAAAAGTTCCAATTTATTTAAAAAATGTAATATTCGTGATATTTCAAAATTGTGATGGAAAATGACGGCATGGCTGTTGTTTCAGCCGTCGGACTTTCGTTGAGATCCGCGCGCCGCGCTCGGCTGCGAGTGTGTGCATGGCGAGCTCACACTTATGCAAGCCTTCTTGTTCCGAGGTACGGCACTGGGGCAACGGTGAAGAAGAGCATATGTGGCAGATAAATGCTTGAGTATTAAGTACTCATAGTTCGTGGATCGATTTTTCACATGGGGGTTTTCAAAATGTCGCTTTGATTGCAAAATTTTTATCAATATGTTTATGAATTTTTTACTCAATAACTATGGGGTTATGGAAAAATTGTCGAGAAGTAAAATATCTTTAAAATTACTCAGATATTTCACCCAAAATTTTTTAAAACGATTCAAGAAAATTTTTTTATTTTTACAAAAAGGAAATTTATGCAAAATTTATAAGTTGCTCGAAAAAATCCCCATATATTCTATGGTTCATTCTAAGAACATTTTATTCTTATAAATTTTTTGTAAATGTAAGTCACCAAACGTGCATATAGTTATCTCGGAAACAAGAGACAAAAAGTTAGAGTAAGTTTGATTTTAACAAATTTTTTATTCAAAAACTATTACATTTATAAAAAAATTTATAAGAATAAAATATTTTTAGAATAAACCGTAGAATATATGGGAAATTTTTTCGGATTTTTTCGAGCAACTTATGAATTTTGCATAAATTTTCTTTTTGCAAAAATACAAAAATTTTCTTGAATTATTTTGAAAAAATTTAAGTGCAATATTTAAGTAATTTTGAAGACATTTTCCCTCTTGACAATTTTTTCATAACCCCATAGTTATTGAGTAAAAAATTTATAAACATATTGACAAAAATCTTGCAATCAAGGCGCCATTGTGAAAACCCCCATGTGAAAAATCGATCCACGAATCATGAGTCCCTAATATTCAAGAATTTCTTCCACGGATTAATGAGGTTCAAAACTTGATTTAAAAAAAAAGATGGGTGAAAAATTCATGTATTTTTTGTTAAATCGCATTTTGCAATAGCTAAAAAAATTTTTCAAAAATTTTTATGGATACCATCGGAAAGAGGAGATTTTGAACTTTCAGAATATGGCCATCTCAATTTTTTTTTACATTTTTAACGTCAGTTACAAGCTCTCAAAGACTGGGGTACCTCGAGTGGCTTTCTCGGCGAAAACGGGTTAAAATTTACTAACGGTACCTCAAAACAAATAAATAAAAAAACAAATAATGACCGAAATGACTACTTAAATAGGGGACGACATGTCTATTTCTAATATAAACTAAACTGAAAACTAAAACACTGTAAATAATAAAAGACAGAGAAACAGCCCATAAATTCAAACTTTATTTAAAAAACGTCAAGCACAATTATCAGATTAATGGCTAAGTAACACAAGCAACAGGTACGAAATATTTCAAAAAAATAAACAATTAAAGAAAATAAAAAAATCATGGTGACGAAGAAAACAACGAGGCAAATAAATAGAAAAGCAAATCTCCTCCAATCATCGTTTACAATGTAAAGAATATCAAACTGTTAGAAAATATACTGAACACAATAGCTAAAGAAAATTATACTTTAAAAGTGATAGAAGAAAATAAAATTAAAATTTAGCCGACAACTTCAGAAAAATATTTGCCAATTATTAAAAAAAATACGCAATTTTACGCTTACCGGTGCAAAGAAGAAAAAGGTTCCAGTCATATTTAGAATCGTTTGGTAACGCTCATTCTGAATGGACATGCAACGGAACGCTCTAAGAAGGAAACCACCCCAACCCATCCCCACCGATTTTAATGATGTTTGGATATGTTGTAATATTTGAAAAAATATTCGACACGTGTGTTTTTTATCGGCTGACATAAACTTTTAAAGGGTGATCCACCCCTGAAATCCAGCCCAAAAATGGTTTTTTTAATATATCTCTGCATCTAATGAATATTTTTAAATAAAATTGATGCCAAAATATTTCTTATAAGTAGGTGCTTCTACCGGCGTTCATTTTATTTGAAAATATTTATTAGATGCAGAGATATATTAAAAAATCATTTTCAAGGTGGATATCAGGAGTGGATTTCACCCCTTAAAAGTGGATGTCAGCCTATGTAAAAAACGCGTGTCAAATAGCTTTTCAAGTATTACAACATATCCGAAAATCATTAAAATCGGTGGGGTTGGGTTGGGGTGGTTCCGTTGTAAGTAAACTCGAGCACCTAGAGCAAACGCAACAAATAAGCATAAATTTAAAAAAAGCCAATCAAACAGTGACAGTGATATCAATAATGAATAACGAAAAATTAAGTGAAGAAGTAATCGGATGGAAAACGGTGCAAAACAAAAAACTCAGGAATAATCCTGAAGAAAAAAATCTTACAAGAAGCAACAAACAATTATTGAAGACTATTGATTAAGAAACACTAAAGACAATATGAAACTAGTTAACCAATTTAAATTGTTACAAGAAAAAGGAATCAACAGCATAGAAATCGAGACCGAAAATGCAAACACAATACATTCGATACAGGGAAGTACTAAGAAAACTCCATCCACCTCAGCTGATATTCGTAAGTAGCATACAAAATATTATTAGATCATATAACAAAAAATGAATACTCCTTAAAAGTTTTATATAACAACGAAATAAAAATACAAATAGAAAATCTTTAAGCTTTTAATCTAACTAAAATCGAACTAAAAAAGAAACCATATAAAGCGATACTAAATAATATGCACCCGGCGGTTAATTGAAATGAACTTAAAACAGAAATAGAATCATATAATCATTCAGTTATCCCTATATCAAACATTAAACACAAGATAACAAAACAGCCGCAAACAAAATTCTAACAATAAAGAACTATATGAAATAAATTAATTAATGAACCAAATTATAAATTTTGAACCTCCGTATAAAAAACGAGGTATTATTCAATACATGCGTTGCCGAAAGTACGATCACACAAAAAATTATTGTCACAAAATACCCGTCTGTGTTAAATGCGCAAAAAATCATTTAAAAACAGATTACTCAATACGTACAAAAATAAAACATGTAAAATACGCTAACTGTGGTGAAAATCACCTAGCTAGTTACAAAGGATGCAGCACAAGAAAATTACTGCAACAGAAATTATATCCAGCAGTAAGACCAAAACAAATAACAATGACAGAAAACAACGTTAGAACAAATGTTTCATATGCATGCTGCACGCGGTAATGTAAACACAACGGAAGAAGAACCAAATCCAACGTAGTTATCAACTAGTAGATAACAACAACAATAACAGTCAACTAGTAAACGTGATGATACAGCTGATGAACCTAATGGACACAATGCTAAATCTACTCACGACGCTCATAAACAAAACTAAATGAACACAGAAATAAAAATCGCAATTTGGAACGCTAATGGTTTAGCGTAAAGAAGCATAGAATTAAAACTGTTTCTTACCGAAAATAATGTAGATATTATGTTAATATCTAAAAAACATTTTATTCATAAAAATTGTCTTAAAATTTCACAATATACATTATACAATACTAACCATCCTGACGGCAAGGTACACGGAGGTATAGCTACAGTAATTAAAAACACTATAAATTATCACGGAATAAAAGCATACAAATACGTATTACCTGCAAGTAACAAACGTAGTAATGTCAGATAACAGCGGTCAAATAGTATTACTACATTATACTCTCCAAAACACTCAATAACAAAAGAACAATAAAAAAAATTATTAATAGCTTCGGAAATCACTTCCTCGCAGGTGGAGACTATAATGCTAAACACTCATGGTGGGGATCCAGATCACGAACTCCAAATCCAAAATTCAACACCAATATTAACAGAAGAAACCACCTACTGGGCTTCAGATATAAATGAATTACCGGATTTAATAGATTTTGTAATTATAAAAGGATTATGTTCTAAATATTCCACAGCGAAATTATGCTTTGATTTGACATCAGATCACTTCCTAATCTTTATTAATGTTAAATAAACAATCACAACAAATTTAAAAAACTTCTCACTGTATAATAAAAAAACAAATTGGAAACTTTACAGGGAAATAATAAATGAAGAACTTTCATGTAACATACCACTAAAAATAAAACAAGATATTGATATAGCGATTGGAAATCTAAATAAAAACAGATACAAAACTATCAAATATGCAACTCCTATATATAGAACACAGGCATTGCATGTGAGTAACTTCCAATAACGTTTACTTCATTTGTCGCATCGCGGGAGCTTTTCCGTAAATTATTGGCGAATTTGATGCATGCGCGCGCGGAGGTAACTGATTGCTGAAGTTAATCCAGTATTTTTGCCCTCGTTACTTATTCAATAAGATTATCTGCAAGCGGTGAAGTGGAAAACGAGTATGTCGCAATAAAACGTGCTATCAATATATCAAGAGTGAGATCGTCAGGTAATTGGTGCTAGGCTAAGTTTATCGTAGATGTGCCG